GGGGGAAGATGCTGGGACGGGAAGAGGGCTGCGCTTTGTCGGACTCTGACGACGTCCTGACCCCGGGGTCAACGAACAGGGGAAAAAGATCGGTAGATGGGGAGGGTGGTGTGCAGTGGGGGTGAGCGCGACAGTGGTGGTGCCAGGTGGACGGGTGGCTGGTGGAGAGCATGGCAAACGTGGCCCCCCCGGGGCCCCAAAGTGGGCTGCAAAAGTAAGTGGGGGCAGCGAGGGAGGAAACCTTAGAGGGTGTGAGGGGGGGGGCATGTCCCCCCAGTGTTAGGATGAAGTGGTTTGATATGTGCTGTTCAGATGTGTCTGAAATTGTGGAATGTGAGTAGTGTTGGTTCTGGTTGGGTGTTGCTGCCTGCGCCTGTGTGAGCCAAAGGTCGCTGGTGCGGTTGGGTGGCATGTGCTGCTGCTTGTGTATGAATCTTGGACTATAGTTGTATGATAGTGGGGGGGGTATGTATGGTGGAGGTTTTGGAGCATTTTATGTTCAGTAAGATTAGGTATGTTTTTTATACCTATGCATACCAATGTATAAAAACACTGGTAGTGTTATTTTGTGGGGCCCGCTGTTATGGGGCCCTCTTGTTTGCCGGGGAAGCCCCTTTTAATTACGAGGATATTTGTGAAAGGGTGTATAACTTTTACTGTTTAATGTGTTACGATGTTGTTTTCTTTTTCTTTACTGTTTAATTTGTATTTTTGGTTGAATGGTTTGGGGGGGACATGCAAAAAGGGGGGGCTGCAAGGGGGGGGGGGTTTGAGGTTCAAACAGTTTTTGGGTTTGGGGATAATTTTTAGGATAGGTGTTTTTGTGTAAAAACTTGTGTGCTACTCCTTTTATGTTGTAGAATGTAATGTTTGTTGTGATTTTTATTATTTTTTTCGTTGAGTAGCTTAACGGGTTTGGTTAAGTTTTTAGGATGAGGGAGCGGGAGGGGGGGGGGGGGGTGTAAAGGTGTTTAAGTGGGGTGTTAATTTAGTTAAGGTTGTGTTAATTTAAAAAAAAAAATTAAATGGTTTTTACTATTTATTTTTGTAATTCCATTTTTAAATAAAATATAAAAAAAAAAAAAAGTTCCAACGGGGTATCATTTCTCACTCAGGTGACATTTCTGTGTGGGAGTCAATTAGCAACACTTATTGGGGAAGGGTACTAGTAGTCTGAAAAACATTATTGTGGTAAGGTATAGTGTCTAGCAAACCTTATTTTGGGGTAGAGGTCTAGTAGTCTACAACATTTAATTTGGAAAGGGGGGGACTAGTATTGCAACACTTGTGGTAGAGGTATGTAGTCTACAAACACTTTTGTGGTGAGGTCTAGTATTTTAGCAAACTTTTTTGGTAGAGGTACTAGTAGCAGCAACCATTGTGTAGAGGATGTGTCTAAAAAACATTATTGGGGTTTGAGGTACTGTAATAGCAAACATTGTGGGAGGTATAGTGCTAACAACATTATTGTGGTAGAGGTACTAGTAGTCTAGCAAACTTATTGTGGTAGAGGATAGTGTTAGCAACCATTGTGTAGAGGTATAGTAGTCTAACAAAATTATTGTGGTAGAGGTACTAGTATTTAAAACACATTGTGGTAGAGGTATAGTGTTAGAAATTTTTTGTGGTAGGGGACTAGTAGTCTAAAAAACTTTTTGTAGAGGGCATAGTGTCTAGCAATTTTTTGGGGTAGAGGCTAGTAGTCTAACAACACTTTTGTGGTAGAGGTATGTAGTTAGCAACATTTGTGGTTTTAGGGCTGTAGTTAAAAATTTATTGGGGTTTGGGGGTACTGTAGTTAGCATTATTGTGTAGGGGGACTAGTGTCTAGAAACACTTTTTGTGATAGAGGTATAGTTTTAAAAACCCTTTGGGGTTTTAAGTCTGTGTCTAGCAAACTTATTGTGGTAGAGGTATAGAGATAGCAAACATTGGGTGAGGTATTGTAGTTAGAAACATTTATTGTGGTAGAGGAAATGTGGTCTAGAAACTTATTGGGAAAGGGCTAGTAGTCGCAACATTATTGTGTTTGAGGGCTGTAGTCTGAAAAAATTGTGGTGGGTAGGGGTAGCCAACACATTGTGGTTGAGGTATAGAGTTAGAAAATTATTGGGTAGAGGTTAGTATCTGTAAAACTTATTGTGGTAAGGTGCTGTAGTCAAGAACACTTATTTAGAGGGTGTGTAGCTAGCAACCTTGTGTGGTAGAGGGTACTGTAGTTAGCGCCATTGTGGTGGATCCATAGTCTACAACATTATTTTGGTAGAGGTACTGTAGTTTGCAAAAATTTTTGGGGGAGGATAGTAGTTAGAAACTTGGGGTAGGGGTTTTACTAGTATTTCTAGAACATTAGTGTGGTAGAGGTATAGTGTCTGAAACAATTGTGGTAGAGGTACTGTAGTCTAGCAAACATTGTGGTGAGATATAGTAGTCTGCAACACTTATTGTGGTAGAGGTACTAGAGTTAGCAACACATTGTGGTAGGGTACTAGAGTCTAGAAACACTTATTGTGGTAGAGGGGATGTGTCTAGAGCACTTGTGGTAGGTACTAGTAGTCTAGCAACATTTTGTGGTAGAGGACTAGTAGTTGAACACTTGGGGTAGAGGTACTAGTTCTAGAACACTTTTTGTGGTAGAGGTACTAGTAGTCTAGAACACATTGTGGTGAGGTACTGTATTTAGCAACATTGTGGGTAGAGGACTAGGTTAGAAACACATTGTGGTAGAGGTATAGTAGTCTAGCAACAATTGTGGTAGAGGTACTAGTAGTTAGCAAACATTGTGGTAGAGGTAAGTAGTTAGCAACCTTGTGTGGTAGGGGGATAGTAGTCTAGAACACTTGTGGTAGAGGTACAGTAGTTAGCAAACATTTGGTAGAGATACTAGTAGTTGCAAAAAATTATTTGGAAAGAGGACTAGTAGTTGCAACAATTGTGGTAGAGGTATAGTAGTCTAGAAACTTTGGTAGGGTACTAGTGTTAGAAACACTTTGTGGTAGGAACTAGTGTCTAGAAACACTTATTTGGTAGAGGTATAGTGTTAGCAAACATTGGGGTAGAGGTACTAGTAGTTAGCAACACTTAGGTGGTAGAGGTATAGTGTTTGAAAACAATTGTGGTAGAGGTATAGTAGCTAGAACACATTGGGGTTTAGAGGTATAGTAGTTAGCAACACATTGGGGTAGAGTACTGTAGTCTAGAACATTTTTGGGGTAGGGGTACTGTAGTTTGCAAATTATTGTGGTAGGGGGTATATAGTTAGCAACAATTTTGGTGAGGTACTAGTAGTTAGCAAACATTGTGGTAAGGTTAGTAGTCTAGCAACAATTGTGGGTGAGGGTTATATAGTTTGGGCAACATTAGTGTGGTGGAGGTGCTATTATCAATACTAATCGTAAATTTTTGCTGCAGTTGGGCTGCGTTTTCGCTAGCGGGGTGTTTCCAAAAGTAGTTTTGTTGGGGAGCAGTAAGGTCACGCCAGTCAAAAAAAATTAATAAGAAAGGGTTAAAGGAAATTTTAAATTCGTCATTAGTGTAAAAGTTTTGCGGGAAAGGGTTTAGCGTATGAGGGGTATACGAGGTATTACACAATATTCCCCGGTATATATCGGTCGGTGTATATGCTAGTATCCACTATTTTCGAGGTGGAATTATGATGGGGTAGTTAGAAAGTTGGAAAAAAGAGTTGCTGTAAACAGTAAAGAAATGAAGAAAAATTTCAGTCTACTGGCTTTTGATTGGTGGTTAGGCCTTCGATTAAAAAACGGAAGGACCTGGGCTCAATCAGAGCAAGTCAAAAAAAAGGTATGGCATGCCATTTTCATTTGCTATCCCTCTTACCTTACAGTAAAAATACCCTGGGGAGTCAGAGACTATTGTGTCGTAATAAATTTTGGGGGTTGGGATTATTAAACCCTTTCGAAAACGTATAAATGATTGCCAAACCAGGGAAAAGGGGAGTTTTTAACTCTGGGGAGGGGGGTCGTAAAACTCCTGGCATCAAATACACCCCTTGTGGTTTATTAAACCCAGTTTAAGTGGCACATTCCATTCAACCGAAACTTATTTTAATTAATATTTTGTATTTCAAGCTGGGCTTGCGCAACGCGTTGTGTATTTCCGTAAGTGAAGAAAAAGTGTGATTGCGTCATGCTAGAATGCAATGAGTTCCTCCTTTACGTAGACTCGTTGGTGACGTTATAGTTACGTGACCTGTTCTTTCAGAGGTCGAGAGAGAGCTTAAATGACACATTTTCTTACTTATGAACATCAATGATCGTTTAATTATTGTTCTATCAGTGTAATTTTTCATATAATAATGAAAAATTATCTTAAAATGATCTTTACATAAACTGAGGCTAGTCCTCGAGCCTTGCACGGAGCCGGCCAGATTAATACCAAATTTTGATTTAAACCTTTATTATCCTCACTAAGTAATATAAAATACAAGAAGGGTTCAGCCCATTATGAAATATGGAATCTATCTAGTTGTAATTGCCATAATTTACCATATGATTTATATCCTACTTTATTTAGTGTATTAAAAGAAGAGGGATAATTTCACCATATAGCATGTATGACGTAAAAGACATGAGAGTTGAGAGTTGTCCCTCCTGGCCCCGCCGGGCCACTCCTGGTGGAAGGTCCGGACGACCCTACACTCACCAGTGTCCTTCCAACTCTCGCAGTGAGTGGAGTAGCTTATTAACCCTCCAGATCTATATTGTCTCTAGATCTCTGTTTTTTCCAGCTCTTGTATTTGCTGCTGAAGGTTCAAGTGTTCAACTGCATGATGGCTTCAGTGGTCGCTAAGACCTTGTATGAACTAAGCGTCAGAACTTTGTCTGGTAAGTTGGTTTCAGCTCTTAGTATTTTTGGGTAATAAGTTATTACTTAGGTAAAAAAAAATCTTAAAGGTGGAACACTGTAGCAGTTCTACTGGCCCATACTAGGCATGTCTTTCTCAAACCCACTAACAAAAATATTTGCCCAGTCTATTTTTCAATGCTGTCCAAGGAATTCACTTTAAAAGTATTGTAGAATGAGTGGTTGTTTTATAAGATTTAAAATATATAAGCATAGCAGGCGGATGTTTTTAACACTTTCAGATTCAGGTACAATATACTTTCTGAGCGTACAGGTAAATCACGGTCTTAATGACGCGTGTGCAGTTTGTAAGCAAGTAAACTGTAATATACCTCTGACCGGTTTGGTTTCTACCTATGTCCCGCAGCCCGGCCGAGGGCCAGGCTTTCCTGGTAGTTAATAAGAAATATTTTGGAGACTTTACACACCAGTGTATGTATAGTTTGCTTCATCTGTTTTAGGAATGGAATTATTCTTGAGTAGACTTGATATCGGATTTTAATAGTCCAAACTAGCTAAGCAACTTCCGTATGTGTAATGAAGTAAATGAAATGACGAAATTTGGAAACTGTGTGATTGGTAGTGAATATGTAGTCTAGTGAATTTGGAGCTGGGATGATATCAATTTTTTTTTTTTTTTTTTTTTTTTACCCTTTTTACAATTTTTCGGACGATATCGATGCTTTTCTCATAATTTCACTTTCAAAATTACAATCCATGTTCAGTATACAAGGGAATGCTTATTGTACAGTGGGTATAGAAAATTAAATTTACCTAGATGTAACTCATAAGATACATACCAGTAAATGGTAACAAATAATTCTTTATCAAGGTTAGACATGTAGGAATTTTAGGACACTTAGGTCGCAAAAAATGTCCCCCTTCGATACCTTACTACAACCTATATCTCCAAAAGTCACTCTGGACCTTCATTAATTTCAAATGAAATATCACCAGGAATTCTGGTAAAACACTAATATAAATGTGGACTGTATTAAATTTAAAATGTGAATACATATACAGTGAAAGAGAAATGATCTTAATATCACTCGCCAATTTGTCTGGAGATTACTTTGTCATACACAAACCCCTGCCTAAATATGAAGAAAATACTGGCCAGAATTCCAACATAAATGCATGACTTAGCTGGGGTTCCCTGACTGTCCTGTCGATTCGCCTTCTCAAGTTGTGCAAGACTGCAATTTCTACTCCTAGTTGGGAGGTTTCAACCACAATTTAACCTCCAGAGCGACGAAATATATGCACATTTCACTAGCGTGCCTTCAGCCCATTTCCAAACAATGGCGTCTCTTCCCCAGCGACGCTTACCCATTTCGCTGGTTCTTTATTTACAAATTAATTTTTATTACCTACAATATATTCCATAAATTTACATACAAAATACTGTATTTTTGGAAAATATACAATATTTTCTAAAGTGGGTATTAGTCAACACAGGAAGGTTGAGTGTTAAATAGCTTAACTTCTCAGATGTTAGTTTGGTTCTGTATGGCCCTTGTAGGTTTAGCGCTTTATTATAATGGTTTGGTTTAATATCTTTATTTATACACACCATACCCATTCTGTGGGCTGTAGTCAAAAGATTACAGCGGCATATAATAGATCCCAAGAGTGGGCCACAAACTTCTGATAACTAAACAAATTATTGGTAATTAACTATTTAAAATGTTTATCTGGTTGCAATCGTAATGGAATTACTTAATATGCAGACCTGAATTAAGTCACATAAAGCATAAAATTTTGCTTTATATTTTACCAAATAGGCTTGAAGTAGTTATTTACAGTGGGCAAAGTCCAACCATTTTTCAAGAATGGTTGATATGCCACTGTGGATAAAATACTTTATTTCTCGCACATTTCAAAGTGAGTTGTCTGAATTCATTAATTTTATCGCATTCCAGCACAATGCACTTACGGGCGCGCGCGGGCGCGCTCCACAATCGTATGGTAGTGTAAATGTTAATTTTAAGCACACGTAATATTTTAGAATATCGTCTGGTATCGGCCGATAACCACCGACAGTGATACTTTGACGTATCCCTAGATTATACCCAGGTAAAGGTGGTAAGGTCCAGGTATTTCCGTATACTAACTATTCTCGAAGCACCTGAGTGGTGTGTTATGCATAAAATAAGAAGTTTGTCTATATCATTCGTTTTAAACGATACAGCCCGTGTAAGAATTATCCTAGGTCATCTATGTGCATATTGCCTATTTCTTTTAGAAACAATGTAGTTGCTAGGTTAGATTGGGTAAGATTTGTCAGGAAACAGGACATTTGTTTCCTGACACGGGTCTCTCATGATAACCCGCCACTGAACTTTTGTCCTCTGACAGAGGCCTTCCGCTGGCTTACCGGTCCACCTCTTAAAAATTAAGTATTGTTGTAGTATCAACTGGTGGCTGGAATCTTTACATTGACAGGGTAGATAGTAGGCATTTCCTGTAATCTTAGTTTAATTTAAGGATATAAACTTTAAAAAAAAAAAAAAAAAAAAAAAATTTAAATTTAAGTTTTTTTTCAGTTGGCAATAACTAACGTCAAGGGACTGACTCGGCAAATGTTCTAAAATGCTTAGTTGATTTTTATTTCTAGTAGAGGGCCAAAATTAGTGAATTGAGCAACGCTGGAATTAACTCTACAAAAGTCATAAGGATATGACTCTTTTTGTCCACGAAATATAGTTTCCGGAGTTTTATTTCATTAACGGAAGCGAATGTGCGGCGTTTTTCACTCGGCAACACTTAGACTAGAGGGGGGGGGGGTGAAGGGTTATACGTTGATGTTAGCTCTGGCTACTCTGAGCCTGTTTTGCCGGCAGACATTCAACCAGGTTCCTTGATGAAATCATGTGTTAGTAAATACACTAAACCTTTTACGTGACTAAAGTTTCGTAGAATTTGGGCTTGGCATAGCCGCATTGCTTGTAACACTTTAATAGAACGCTTGTTCCTGTCTGATTCGCTGGCTTAATGCTGGTAGTCAGATTATTAGAACAGGAAGATAATTTGAAAATAGGGCAGAAGTATTATAGAAACATGGCTTTTAAAAAAGTATGCTCATGACAAACTAGGACTAAATATCTTTAACATCATTGGAAGTGACTTCAGTTACACCCAAGATTCAATTGTCAGTCTCTGCCACACATTCACCTCCTTTATGCTGCGGTGACACAGTTGGATAGACTAAACATTGGCTATTAAGGCAGTAAATTATACTGTATCTGTACTCCTTAGTCGTGTATAAATTGTCACCGAGGTAAAGACGCGTGTGCTTCAATGGCCAGACATGGCCGACGGACATTTGGCTGAACAAACATTTCATCGACCGAATTGACATTTGATCAAAAAATGAACTAGAGAGCAGACAATTGGCAAATTTGCTTTTATCCCTCGTGGGCCCTTAGCTCTCATGGTCTTTGACTAGGCTCCATTATTGCTTCCACTTTTCCTTCTTACTACCTCTTGTCCCGTCCGTCTGCTGGCCTGTACATACTGCCTCCTTCTCTTCCTTGTTAGTGACTATAAATAAATGGTAAAAGTCGAATCATTTTTTTTTTTTTTTTATATTTTATTTAAAACAATACAATACAAGAAACAGATAGACAAAAAAGGTCTTACACAGAATAATCATGAACAACCACACAAACATGAACTTGAGATAACACAAATATCCCTCCTCACCCATACATGAAAACCCCTACACCTATGATAACCAATAACCGACTAATTCCAATTGCATTGTTATATGATTAACAAAACACATCATTATATACATATATTGTCACTTGTAAATTATAAAGTAGGACACCGTATACGTTAAATACAATTAACGTACTGTATTGAGAATAAGGTAAAAACAATATGTTCATCAAACACAGAATATGTTAATAAAGAAGGATCCAACACACTGACACCTCTACAATCATCTAACAACATGCATAAGAGTAACATACATAGAACAATGTCCTACTGCAAAATCAAACACATATATTGAGTATACTCATCACAAACCATGAATACACATCATACGCCCAAGTTCATACACATTCACCCGCTACATACCAGGAGGCGACCCCGTTTCCACCCCTGACAGGCCATTAACATAATACATTATACCATCCCTACCCTGCCCCACCCACCTAATTTACAAATTTAATAAAACCTCTAATGTAATGTCTCTATATCCCTCAGAGAAATCCCGCTCCCACCTCCTCCCATAAAGTTCTCTATTACGGCACAACGTTTTATAAAACGTAACAGCCAATACCCTCCTCTTCACCTCACTTACCCCTTTCCCCCTCATTCCCCACATAATGTAGACATAATCTACCATAATGTACCCCACAGCCCTAATAATACTTTCATCCATACCCCCCACATCAAGACTCAATGCCTGCAGAACAGAGAAGTATTGACCACTTATCTTATGCAACACCCTACTCAACCAACCCCTGACGCTCCCCAACCCCTCACAAAAATACACTACATGGAATGCAGAATCCTCCCGCCACATATTCCACATACCCCCCCCCCCCTCAACCACCCGTCTAGCTCGTAAGACCACTCCCGATGGTAAAATCCCATGCAAAAACCGATACATCACCTCACGTCCACGGGGTTGTAACCTTAACCTACCAAACCTCTCCATATACATCCCCAGTCATACATGGGGAAAATCCCCTCCACCGGAGCCACAACCCTTTCCGCCGACATCCTACACAACCTACTTATTTTTACCTTACCCAGATCCCTAACCATCACTGCTGCCCTCAAAATAGTTTCACACTCCCTCAACTCCGTCCCAGAAAACATGAGTTTCAATTTATTGTGTACCTTAACCAACCCCCCCCCCACTCACACCCTCCCTCATCACCTCCCTTTTAATAAAGATACATTTGACCCTCCTCTTTAAATTCATTAAACCCAACCCCCCCTGACGCACAGGTAACATTACTAC